GTTTGCCCTCATTCTCGGATATGTGTATTTCGATTTCCAACCATTCGGTTTCGAGTCAAAAGTTAGCTTCCTTGCAGAATTTCTTGGTGTTCTTGAGTGCTCCGATTGCGACGGTTTCGTCACCCCTCAAGTCATCTCCACCATTTTCAAGGACGTAGCACTGGGTCTTAAACATCTACGCGTCAAAAATGTCGCCCATCGTGATTTAAAGCCGGCTAACATCTTGGCCACCAATCAATACTACTGTTAACTGACTGCAAGTGATCAGAGAGAAGTCTGGGAACAGTGCCCTTTGGTTTTACCGCTGGCATAGGGAGAAAATCTTAAGAGAGCCGACATTTGGTCTTTAGACATGACCCTGTTTGTATTACTAAACCCTTGTGTCAGGTATCCTTACTGAGATACAAGCAGCCTTTAGAGAGGGGGAAACACCTCTGCAAGCACTAGGGGATTTTTCCAGTCATGACAAGAAAATTGCCAACAGAGCCATGCAAATATCAGATTTGGCTTAAGTGTGCTCCATTTGACCCTGATAAACAGCCAAAGGTTGAAGAAGTGGTTTCCATGATCAGCCAGGGATCTACCATGTTTACTCTTAATATTCCCTTGAAGGTTAGTCATTTGCATTTTTTAGAAGGGAAATGTTTTTTAATCTTATTAAGAGCGTCATCTTGTGAAAGGGTCATTAATATAACCCAGCCAGTCATTGAGCTTTGCAAATTTCCTGAAGAGTGCGAAGTGCACCGTGTAGGAAGTGATTTAACAAAATTGAAGTTTGTTAAAATAAACCATTTTAACTTTGTGCAAAGAACCTTGTTCTTCTCTCTTACATGCGTCGCGCATGCCTGTGCCTTTCTACGCGTAAAATTGCTCATGAAATACATAAGTTCCACAAAGAAGCAATTGGAGGTAGTAAGAAGCTGTGGCAAATTATTTGCGAAGTGGCAGAAAAAGTCATAACAGAGTTACTCCGTGTGTTAAATCCACACAGGAATTGTGAGGAACTCTACAATGTACTATCGGCGTACCAATTGATACGGAGTATTGGTCCTGAGGTTAGCAAGTACGATTTTTCCGAAGAGATCTTGGAGGGCGACTTCGAATTCTCCTAAAAAGGGCGGACTAACCTCGTCCATGCCTTATCTTCTATGTTATCGAAGAAAGATTTCTGCGTTGCCATCTACACCTGTGAACCACTGGTCTTCATAGTAGGCCAAGGAAGCGCCTGCTTCTTTATTGTAGACACTCATCCTGTTCCCACTGAAGTTGGTGGTAAAGGCACCAGCATTCCAATAGTTTTTCCATGGGTAAAATAAGAGGAAACGGCATGCAAAGGAGTCTGTCGCTGGATATGGCAGCGCCTGCTTTTTAGAGGTGTAAAAAATAATACGTTGCAGCCGCTCCCTATATGAAAAGTACCAGTCCTATTTCTTATAATTATTACAATATTATCCTTTTCTGTTATTACTCTTACGAAAGTGTAACAATGGAAATGGATCAATATAGCGTGATGTCCAGGTAACTCCCTTTCGAACTGGGTATCTCCTAAACCGGAGAGAACATCAGCAAATTTACCATCCATATATTTGAAATTAACTTTGAACGGGTTGTCCAATAGATGATATTGCGAAGGCTCGTTTTCAAGATAATTTTTCTTTCACTTCGGCGTTTCTCTATCTTCGACTACTGACGAGCTGGGATTAGCAGAGAGAAATGTTATGCTATCCTATCATTTAAGAAAAACACAGCTGTAAGAATAGCTTGCTCTATTACCACCAACTTAAAGCCGAGATGCAGGTATTCATATACTGTGCGAGCATTATAGTGAATGTAGTTTGACTGAAAGCATGGTTTAGCTTTACTTTAAAGCGTCACTTGTAAAATCAGTGGTCGGTTTTCATCTTTTAAGACTAGCACTTTCCTGCACAAACCATTAAGTTAAATATATCTCAGATGTAACTGTACTCATTCATGTCTGAACAGAAAAAAAGCTTATTTGGTTTACATTCCAACGAATGCAGTAACAGTGAAACCCCAGCCACTCCACTACGGTAAAATTTTGTATTTTTTTCGGCAGTTACTGACTGATTATTGCAGAGTCAGTTAGAATTTTAAATGCACGAGATTTAAACTGCATAAATTCCATGTTACCATACTTGATACTGTAACATTCACAGGTGTTTGCTCACCGATTGAAAACAGCGGTCCCAAAGAAAGTGTAGGAAGGGCAAAGCTACCTGTTCTAATGATTGTGATAGCGTTAGTTATGGCTCCGACGTAGTCCAAATCACAGAAAGATGGCAAAGGCCAGATAGAAGAGGAACTGTGAAAAATTCTGTGAGCATCAGTTTGGCGTCCATGGGGAGAGATGAGAATGTGGATTAACTGAATGTTAAGGGTTCCACGGATGACACTATTTACAAAAAACTGGAGCAGTTTATAGTCTCGACCACGTAGAGCCAAAACGAATACATTCTCCAAGACCAAAGTCAACCTAAGTGCAGCCCGCGAGCTGGAAGAGGAAAACCAAGATGATAGCGGAATCCCTTCATGTTCCAAATGACCCTCGAATAGATCCACGTAAGTGCCAAAAAACTAAACGAAATTTTTGTTTTTCGGTTATTAACCTTTGTAACCTCCATTAGTACTGACGAGAATTCTCCACTAATTAGCTGTGCTGTGACTTATGCAGGCTAGCTAACTTATTAGTGCCTCCTTTACTTTGAACAGTCGTTCTTTAAAGTATTCTTAAGAAAACAGGAACACTGAGTTGTTGCCTTTCCGAATAGCATACACACGTCACATAGGAAGAGAATTGTTACATACTAATGATAGCGCCCACTGAACAAATCAATTTCTTTCTTGCATTTGGAAACCAGTAGGTTGACTGACGTCGAAATAGAATCGCTAGTACTGTTACAACAAAAGAAACAAAACAAAAAAAAAGACGGCGATGATGAGCTCGAAGTTGGCTCCGGCAATGATATCTACGATCCCTACAGCAATTAAGACGACTCTGAGAAAGCTCAGGAAGGTAAAGTAAGATTAGAAAAGTACGAAAAAAAAACAAACAAAAAATGAAAAGTAAAGGCAACAGACTGCAGTTTAGATGATGAAATTTTGAGAGGTTGGAAAAAAGTTATGGGAGACCACAAGTTTAGTTTCCTCTCAACTGCCCAGAGCCGATCAGAATTGCGATTTTAAAAGAAACAGACGGTTTTGAAACACCTTACGTGTATCATTTTAAGAAGAGGTTTTGTATAAATGTTTTATAATAGGTAGACGTTCATATAAGATATTTCTAAATACAGTTTCGCACGAAGCATAATATATTTTCCCATAATGATAGAGAAAATGGCTGCAAATACAAGTATCAAGATTTTTTTTGCTTATGATTGGTGTTTCGTTTGTCTTTTTAGGCTTCAAGATACACTCTGAGTGCTGAACACTCCATTTCCGAACGCCCAATCCGAGGAGCGAAAAATCCCAGTGCAAAATCGTGTCTCTAAAACGTAGTTACATGTCCAGATCATTTGCGACGCATCTCTTATATTTGGCTTGACTTCGATGTTTTCGAAATAGGGTTTCCACTTTAATTTTTCTTACAGATTGGTAATTTAAGATATTTCATCTTCCATTCTGTTTCCCAGGTTTTGTTATTTACCTTTTTTTAACATAAGTTTGCAACGCAGCTAAGAACACTACTGAAACGAGTCGTTGAAAATAGGACCTGAAAAAAAATTCAGGCCCGTACGGGATTTGAACCCATGACCTCTGCGATACCGGTGCAGCTCCCAGTTGGCTTGTTAGCTCAGTTGGTAGAGCGCTGCACCGGTATCGCAGATGTCATAGGTTCAAATCCCGTACGGCCCTGAATTTTTTTTCAGGTCCCATTTTCAACTACTCGTTTCAGTAGTGTTCTTAGCTGCGAGGATCTCTTAATTTCGTTTCTTCACCGCAGTGCAAATATATAAATTTCATATATCTAAAATCATCAGTTTGCAACGCGTTTGTAGTCTGGATTTTGCAATGGTATGTACGATGACGCACGCTGTTAATAATGTCGCAAGAAGTCCAAAAGGAAATAAAATTTTGAAATTCGTGTTGAACTTTGGTTTATAAGTTTTCGATAATGGGTAAATTCTTGGCTCACGCAAAAAGGGATGTACAAATACAGAAGCCTGAGTTGTTTGAGTTTATTCTTCTATCTGTTCTTGACGATTGACTAGCCCTCGCTACTATATTTACTTCGACTACTTTCGAGCTAAAAAATGGTATACTGCGCGGCGTTCGATTGTAACAACGACTCGAGGTACACAACTGGTATATCCTATCATTGCTTTCCGAGGGATGAACCTCTATGATCACAGTGGCTGGCAAAGATCTCACAAGCGGATCTGCTCGTTTCGAAAAAATCCAGGTTGTGCTCAGAACATTTCGCACCTGACTGCTTGGAACGAGACTTGAAAGCAGAAATTCTTGGTTTGAAACCCAGATCTACGCCAAAACCAGGTGCAATACCCACGATTTTTTCGCATCGAAGGCCATCGAAAAGACCTCGACTATCATCGGAGAAATGTTCCGTAGAAAAAGTCAGAAAAGAGGCAGCTGAATCGTGAATTACTGTCTTGCAACTGGGTTGGGTTGTTGCAAAGCTTGGGTTATTGCAAACTATTAAAGCTGCTCATCATTTATGCATGATTGATAAAAAAAATTGAAAGGTGAATGCTGTTTAGGGGCAACAACAATTTATATCTTAAGGGATATCACCCGAATAGGTTCCATTGAGAAATATTTAATTTTCGCTGAAAAGTTTTTCAATTCTCCTTTAAGCAAAACAATATCCTCTTATGGAATTCTTTCTAGTTTCAATTTTTTTTCTGAGTAATCTTTGTACTTTGTCTCTCCTGAAAATTTTCGACCAGAAGGTAAACAAAATTAAATTGTTTCAGAATAAAATATGATTATTCTTTAATTCTAGGAACATTTTACCTGTCCCTTGTTAACCAGCAGGTAAACAGAATTAGTACAAAGAGACTAAATATAAATTGTGGATATTATCTTGTTCTTTAAATAATGAATTTTTTTAAACTTCTTTACTTCTTTACAATCCAGTGGGCGATATCTTTGAATTCAGCGTGTGATCAAAGTGTAACCTTTTCTTACAACCCAACAACATTATCCAAAACACTTGTGAAGTGGACAATTTAGCTCATTTAGAAGGAAACCCGGCCTTAAAAAAAGAGAGATTTATACGAATCAAATCATTCACGCAGTCAGTCTTCTTCAACACAAATAGCTGCAATTCAGCTATGAATCCCACATACTTGTAAAAGTTGTCTGATGTAAAGCAAGTCTAGCATCACTTTCCATTAATTATCGCTTGAGAGAGCCTATGAAAAGCTTTGCTAATTTTATTGCTGGGCTCCCTGAAAGTCATCAATTCGCTAATATTAGTTTTCCGCATTTTTCCTTATGTAGGGTCTTAGTTTTTGTGCTATATCATTTCTTCCGATCTCTTTCAGCATCCTTACAAGACAACGAATAGGATAGCTGGGGTACAAAGTTTGCAGCTGGTTCATCAGCCTCTTGGAGGGGCTTCCACCTTCACTTTTAAACTCATTTTTCAAGGATTTTCGTACTTCCGGGGAAATTAGTTTGTATTTAGCAGCCAAGCGCTCGTAGTCTTGCCGGAAACCTGATTTTCCGTTATCAAGCCGGGTGCAAACCCAATCCAACAAATCCAAGTTGTTTTCTTCCAGCTCCTCCAAGGTTACATCGTCTACAAAGAAATACAAAATTCATCAATCTGATGAAAGCTTTACACAATTGTAATTCAAGATCATGTTCACCAGCTAATGCATGTAACGAGGAGTAGTGTTTGGAACGGGCCAAAGCAAAGAACGAAAAATGATAGAAACAATATTAGATTCGTGAAAAAAAAATATATAAATCTAAGTAGTTTATTCAGTCAGTTTTGGTCGATATAGGAGCTCACCGGGCCTGAGTTCCTCTTGTGATAAAGCTGGCTTCACTTCGATTTGCGCCGGTGGAAACTCGACTGAATTCTCCGATTTTCCCCACCTGAGGAAACAAGGCCTGCAGAACCATCCATGACGAGCCATTATCACTGTTAGAGCAAACAGGAATGTAATTCCAAGCGCTACGCCTACTCCGGAAGGAATAAGGAGCACTTCATTTCCACTCCCCTCTTTCGGAGACTTTGTCGATTTGGTGGTGGTTATGGATTGGTCGATCCTAGATCTAGGAAATTCGACTGAGTAAGTGGAAAATGCTGGCGATGTAACCTTTTCTCCTTCCTTGGTTGGAAAGGGTGTCGGTGTACCTCTTTGCAATGACATCTGTGTGGGAGCCCAGGGAATCCACTTTGCAGTTGTGGCCGGGGTATTTGTGCTGCGCACATAACTACAGGGCGATGAACGCATTTTGCACTTCTTTAGATAATTTCCGCTGCACTCTTTTGGAAGCTCATCTTTACCATCATGACAACAATCCGAGCAAGGCCAACAGGCAAAACTAAACGGAAAAGAATAAAAGCCTTTCTGGCACTCTGTGCTGCACCGAGTGTTCGAGACCAGGGTGCAGTTCTTGACCAGTGCTTTCCCTGTAGAGCATATTGTGCATGCCTTGCACTGCGCTTTGTCATATTTTTCTGAGTATGTTTTACCCAGTTGGCACGAAACGCAATGAATGGGTGTCCCGTATTTAACTGATGTACCACATGGCACAGAAATCTCTGATCCCAGGGGACAGTCAGGACAATCTACGCATTTGTATTTTTTCTGAGTTGTGCCATTCCAGTGTATCTGTTCTGATTTGCACGGAAAGTCTCCTCCGACACGGTAGATCTATACGAGACAATGAGAAAAAACATATTTATATGGATAAATCAATTGCAGTTATCGTTTTTAAAGTAGATTCCGAATGACTCAAATCGTATCCATCAGGGAAGAGCTGAAATCGTATTCATATTGTGAAACTGCTGTAATCCAGCTGAATGTAACTGAATGTATTCAAGAAATAATCAACCGATTGTCATAGAATTCTATGAAGCAAACCTGGCGGTATAAGTGAGTTCAGGCCACATTGCACTCATTCGTTTGTTTTGTAGCTTACTCTTTGGGTGAGTTTTTTCATCCCTCTTTTGTCCCTTCAAAATATACTTCGAACGCGACTCGTTCACAAAGATAAATCACCTCTCCATTCTTTCCTGGGAACGATTGCGTGATTTAAATTCACTTGTGGGAGCTAAAACGGCGTTCACATCGGGTCAGCAAAACCATCCTGAGATGGCTATCATGTTGCAAAACAATGTGCACATGCCATATCGTGGAGACCTCGATGATGAAACAAAAGGTGAGCATGCTGATTTCATTCATGTTCGTAGCGTCAAGAGCTGGTCGTTGAGAATCAGGTTTGGCACACTTCCCATCCAAAATTACTCACCCATATATGGAGTAATTTAGTTAGCCCTTTGTCAGAGCGATTGACGAAAAGATAACGCTCGAAACCTCAGCTTTTAAACTCTTTACGGTGGCCAATTTACGTTATCAACTCAGTTGATAATACTAAATTACCCCGTCATGCTCTCCCACCGACGCAGCACCACAGTTTCTATAGAAACTTACCCCTTCACCCATATATGACTTGAAAATACGGTATCTTTCATTAAAGATCTATGCTAGGTCGACATGCTTTAATTTTGTATTTTTTGTTAGCTTCATTGGCAACCTAAGTTTAGACGACTGAACAATCGCCGACACTTAACTAAAACAGTCGTGCGCCCAAGTCCAATTTTGTTACATGTTACGATACAAACCTTATGCTATCAGTTTCAACCATAAAAGGATAGGTTTGTGAAGTCGCAGTTAAGCTTAAGTCTCGTGACTACCTTGTGACAGGATATGCATATGACACCAACATTGCTATGAACTGATGTCATCATCAAGGGTGTTTTAAGATTTACTAGTCAAAGAATGATCGCTGATACATATGTTGACTGTATGATTGGGAAATATAAATATTTTTAATTTTGGGTCATAAATGATTTACAGTATATTTCAATTGCGTGGTGTGATGCTGTCTAGTCAGTTTTTACGATAAACGAAAGTGAATGGACTTCCTGAAGATAGATAATCAAGCCAATTACACCTTTTACCTGTGCACTTTCTTCTAACATAGTGAACTGTAAACCATACAATCTAAATTTCGACGTCATTTTTCTAATTGGATAAGTCATGATTGAGTTCTAGACAACCACGGACAAATGATTCGGTCGCTGTTTACAGGAATGTCGCGAATCATGAATCTTTGAGGTCGTATATCAAAATTGAGAATAGCGTGAGTCATCACTCTTCTAAAACTAACACGTAAGCACATTTAACTTCACCATTTACCACTTTTCGAAAAAACGAATATCATTTCATTAACGTAACCAAATTAAAGAAAAATAACTATACGAACACTGGAAAGTCAGAACGTGCATTGATCATGCTAAGTTAAAAGGTTTCCCTTACCAGCGTTCCGAAGATCAAAACAATCAAGAACCGTTTTGTCTTCGCATCGTTGTAACCAAACCACGATCTCCTCGACATCGCGTTGAAGAAGCGTGAAACGTGATTTCCTTTCTCCTTTCTCAAACTCAAGCTGACTTCCACCGAGAAAAAAAGGTAAAAATCCTTTCCTGTTTGAACGAATACCACTCTATGATAAAACTACGCGACATAAAAATGACGCACGTTAAAACCACACCAGACGTTCAGCGTTTTCGGAGCATTATTTGGGGATTCCCCTATTTAACAGCTATGTGACCTCAACACTCCAGGTGGTATATTAAGGTACGTTGTTTGAACCGGTTTAACCATATGAATTTCGTGCAGCGCCTCAGGAAGCAATGTGAAGTATGCAAACGATGTAGGTATGTGGTTAGTTTTACAGTTTACAGGAAGCTACTAATTAACCCCTACACGTTATACCGTCTGACATTTTAATAACCTATCGCCATAATTAACTTAAGGATTTCAGTAAATTAGTTCGCTTTAAGCCTTGTCTTAAAGGAACAAAAGATGATTTTCTCTCAATCTGTCTCGGACAGGGAATGGGAGCCTGTGTTTATTTTCAAATGCATCAGTTTCGTCGCTGATGAGCTGGGGACGCCCGGAAAACAGTGTTTTATCAGGTTTAACCATAAGGCTCCGGTTTTCGATGGGTAGATAAAGCTACAAATAACCGTCTATCCTGTGAGTAACGCAGTACGTGTTGCTGACATTTATCAGCTGCATAGCCACTAAATAGCGTTAGCCGCTCGGACCCTGATGTAATTCAAGGGTCACGCAAATAAGTCAGCGGACACGAGCAACAAGGCCATACGTGGCTTTTACTCGCACAAGCCACTGCTTCAAATAGGCCTTAGACGTAGCAAAGACAACAGACACCTTAATAGGGCGAAAAAGGAAGTCAGTTTTATTAAAAAAAAACACATTGCAAAACATTTTATCAACAAAGAACCGCCCCTGTGTAAATTGTCCCGATAGAAAACCTGCAAAGCTACATGCAACACAACTCATCTCGCAACGGTAGGAGTGACGCTCAATCTAGTTTCGTGTCATGAGCTTTGGCCGCCTTAGAATTGTAAAAGTGAGAAATGTATTTGGTCGTGACCCGTTCCTAATTGATCTCGCTCATATTACAAATTCAATAGAAGTAATAAACTAAACCGGAATCGAACTGTTGCCATTAGCCGCGACTCTTCGCCTTTCTTCAATATAAACCTTATCTGTCTAAAAATTCACTTATCTATGAATGTAATCTTTCAAAAGTTCAACGACATCGTTCCTCAGTATATTTGGTTCCCGAAGAACTTTGATAAACTCCAACACAGTAAGGTCAGGTCGTCTAGTTTCTAGACCTTCTAAAAGCTGTCTTGAAGGACTTCCAGAGCCACATGATTTAAATTCTTTCTCCAGTTCCCAAATGTCTTCTTCTAAATACAAAAACCGCACAGCCACATCTCTGAAGTCACCTCTGGTCTTTCCCTCCGGCTCTTTGTCCAGTCGTTTCCACACTTTGGTATATGTGTCAAGTGAAAGGGACTTCAAATCTTTTAAGGAAACCAGAACTACAAAGGAAAAGAAAAATTACTAATATTCATGTTGTTAGACTGAAAAAGAACGCTACGTTCAAAACATTAAGTGGGCAAACGGAAGAGAAACTGGTCATGGAGAAACATCACGGTTTGAGTATCTAGGAAACGTTAGACCAAATTTAAGAGTTCCAATCTTACTTTACACTGTCCTCTATTTCGTTCCCTTTGGGTTTATTCGTACATGTTTATTTACTTTTTTGACGTAACTTTTTCTTCCAATAACTAAGTTTAAGAACCAAACCTATCACGAAAATATTACACTGTTAGCATTTAATTGATAATTGAAATGAAACCCGTTTTGTCAAGTCTTACACAAGGCACATGTTCACCACTCCTCGCTTTTAGAAATTTTTGTCATTATCTGTGTCTTAAACATGAAGATTGATATTAAAGGTCTAATTTCCGCCAATAATTCTGGCTGGCGGTACAAAAATAGCACTTTCCGCCAATAATTCTGGCTGGCGGCACAAAAATGGGACAAACTACGACAGCGACTGCACCAAGGACGAGTCAAAGCTGATAACGGAAGCCTCGACAAAAAATTATTTAAGTTTCCATTTGGAACTCAGCACTGTTTACGTACGTTATTCGTAAGTTGAGGCGTAGCGCCGAAAGACTAGTTCACAAATCTAGCCATTCACGAAATTCTTGTTAAAAATATATATAAATTTTTTTAATCACCGTCTTCCCCGGCGTTTTTGTCCTGACTGCTTAGTCCTTTAAGAAAGTGTCTCAACGACTGAGTAATTTGCCATCATTTGACCGTGTTCAAAATAGTGCAAATTCACCTACCTCCTAATGGCACAACATTCAACGGAGTACTCTCTATTTGTTTACCGAGTTCAGCGTCTCTACACCTCAGGATAGGACCACACCTCGTCCTTTCAAAGAAGCTTGCAAGCTTGTTCCGCTTAAGAACAATTACAATTATTGCAATGAAAATAACGGGAATCCCATACATAGGAGAAACGACAATACCATTGCCATTATTAATATCGACACTTCTATCGGAAAAAGGTCCCTTTGATTTATTGCCGAGGAATTCTTCTGAGGCGGAACTTGTTCCATACTGGGAAGCAGCTAACTTTTCATGTCGTTTTGCGGTTATGGCAGTGGTTCTTGCATACGGCTTCGGTGTTCTTGATGAAGGAACTGAAGAAGCTTCCTCTGATTGTCCCTTTGGGCTTGTTCCTTTCTTTGCCGTATGATTTGCTCCTAGAAATGAAGTGCTCGATGTGAGCTTTGAAGTTGTCTGCAACAGTTGACAGCTGGGCGCGGTTCTGAGTTTGCAATGTTGTTGACTTGGAAGCCCTTGATCTGTGCACTGCTTCTCTACCTTATCTTTACCGTCCCCACAGCAGACAGAACACGGAAGGCAATAGAAAAGCAGGTTCATGATGACAACTTTCTGGTAATAGCCGTATTTACAAGAGCCACACTGAGCGTTCTTCGTCGCAGAACAGTTCCTTGTCACTGTACGTCCAACGGAACATAGAGAGCATAGCTTACAGGGCCCTTTTCCATAATTGTCCGAATAGGTTCCTTGCCTGCATGCCTCACAATGTAAGTGTGTTCCATATTTGGCGGTCCCTCCGCAAGGAATCGACGGCTCAGTTCCGTCCGGGCAATCGATACACGTTATACACGTGTTTTTCTTTCCTGGTTTATCCCTACGCCAGGTGATCTCATCACCTTTACAGCCCAAGCAATCTCTTCCTTTTGCTTGGAGCTGAAAAAGAAGGAACCTTTATTTTCTTTTATTGGAACAGTGTCTACCTCCTCAGTTACCGCCAGATCAGCGTTTTTTCCTTATCCCATGGTAATCAGTATACAGTTAGCATTTCAAAGGGAAAAATAAGGGAAAAGGGAAGTCGATCTCATATGCTCAATACTACCGGTCTATGTCATGAAATTTACCTCACATGTCATAGGTAGCAATATCAAGAAATAATTATTTCCGTCGTTCTCTACTGGTTGTAACACAAACTATCTGAATGAAACAATATGCATTTAATCCATCGCTTGAATTTTGCCAGCCTGGAATAAACAGAATGTGAACTTACCACAACTGCAATAATTACGGTCTTCGTTAATATTCCAACGGAGCACATGGTTCAGGAGCACTTCTCCAGTCCACTCGACTTGGCAAGGTTTCCGAGGATATTATGTCCGAAGTAGCAAACTCTCGTCAAGTAAAGCAATTTGCACAGTTACAAAGCTTGAGATATGAAAAGATATTGTGTAACGAGACAGGTCACAGTATGCCGGTTTCAAATCGTTTAACGATCAAGAGATTTTTGAAAGAACAGTAACACTATACTTACGGTGCAGTCTTCATTTAATTTTTTGTCGAATCTTGCTGAACAAATTGAGACTTTTGATACATGAATAATATCTTGTAATGATTAGAATCGGTAGAAGCTCATTCGTTCCGCTCAGTAGCGAGATGTTTAAAAATATGCTGACAAGCAAAATGCCTACCGGTTGGTACTGGATTAGACCATGTGGGAAATCTTATACTGCCAAAAAAAGGCAATTGACGTCATCCCAAAGAAATCCCAACGGTAACATGACACGGTGAAACAAAAAGGGTTGGGAGGTGGTATCAGTCAATCGAAAGGAGAATCTCAGAATTTAGCACGGATTTGTAAGACTCCATTGAATGCGAACGCAATCACCCTCACCAACTCTCTTTTGACCCAGTTCTACTCTTTCGACCAGGTCTTGCTTTACATCCTCCCTCAATTTCCAATTTCTGATCGAAACGCGTCCACACCATAAGCAGGAGAATTTTGGATCTTACTCCCATTTCCACGAGGCTACGCTACATGTGAAGTCGATCTATTTAACTTGAACGTTACACGGCAAAAGAATCCCTCGTTCCCACAATTTAACCAAACAGTGAATACCGGGGAAATGCCTCGTTCAAATTTCGTTTTCATTTTTGCGGAGAACGCGTGGCATATTCACTATGGGAACACATAGCGTTAACGACAGGGCTTCCAGGGCCTGGAAAACTCATCTGTACACTGTGTTTTGTTCTACATCGGTTATCCAGCGTGGGTTATCACGGTGTCTGTTTAGTGTTTTCCTGAAGCGGTTAATGAGGTGATATTCGACACTAGTTTTTCAGCGCAAGCATTACCCGGGCTAACATTCCGTTTTCCTAAATGTTTCCACTGATTTTCTAGGTTGTTGTAACACAGTATTTTCTATGTGTTACCACAGGTCGGCTAACACCAGAAAAACGCGATATTCAACTTTGATTAAACACGCCAATGAACATTCTGTTTTCCGTAGCATTTCCCGCGGCAAAAAGTATGTGTGAACACGTGTCCGAAAGCATTTTCGTATGAGTGGATAACTCATGTATAGCAGCGTTTGAAGTCATGTTTTCGTATGGGTTTTCTTCAAATTTGGAATGAAAGGCTTTTTTGGATACGTTCAAATTCCTCTGTAATCAAGAGTTGAAAAATTTCCCCAAGCTTAGCCATGGGCATGTGAAGAAATGAAGCAGGAAGTTGCGGCAGCCCATGTCGCCTCCATGTCGAGACGGGAATTAGCACGTGTATGTTTAAGCAAACAACTTATTATGG